GCAAGGCGCACATACGCATGTTTTAAAACATACTTTTACTTTTACACAAGACACACATAATTTATATATGGCATGCAGTATAATACCATACAATGTACTTTCTCACAAGACAAAAAAATTTGTGCATTACGGCATTACAATACAACAGACTTTCATGCAAGATTTATGATTTTTACAGTCTAGTACGCACAATGTGAACCCAACTCTCCAACATCCTTTATCTCCCTTCATACATTTCCTGTAATTCACACCACTATCAATCATAGCGAAATTTGCACATGATGAAAAGATTACTGTGTACTGCCAACTTTCACTATGAGCATTCTAGACTGTATTTTAACTCAGGACCTTTCAAAAACAAGACAGAAAGACGATGGTGGGGAATAAAAATAAATAATTGTAAATCGCCAATCAGCTGTTCAGAAGCGCCAAGCAGAAAATTTAGAATAAATTCTTTTAAATTGCACTTTCTTGATCCGTGGTACTGATTGCATGTGCTCAAGAAATATTTGGTTTTATTAACAGTTTTACTGCACTTGCAACACAATAAGGTCATATAAGTGCCGATGATTAGAGGTGTTACAATTACAAGAGAGTAACAAACACAACAAAGAATGAGGAAAGATAAGGTGGACGATAGATGTTTGATAGGAAAGAAGGAGCAAACCACACCAGAGCACCCGCCAACCAGGAACAGAAATATTAGGTCAAAATTCAAATTTAACATGTGTTGAAAAAGACAAGAAAAGGTACACATAAAAAGTAGGCAAAATTGTAAAAAAATAAAAGAATGAAAAACTTTTTTTTCCGCCTGAAAATTTAGCTTTCTGGGGTTAGAACATTTGAACAGCTTGCCGGACTTTCTGACGGCCCCTAGCAGCACAATTTAACCCTATCTGTACGCCCTGGAGTCATTTTGTACCCCCGCGGTTGTATTCTTCAGATTTTAGAATACTTCTAGTGCAAAGATCTCTTTGAAACTTTCAGTTTTTTTCAAAAAGTCATTTTGACAGACTGCTACTATGCAAAGCGTACAGATCGGATTAATGAGTAAATTTCCTCTTTGGAAAGTGGTGCCACAGAGTTCCCCACGTCGTATGGATACGATAGTAAAACACGACGTACAGATAGGGTTAAATGGTGGGACAGAGTTCCCCACGTCGTATGGATACAATAGTAAAACACGACGTACATATAAGGTTAAGTGGTGGCACAGAGTTCCCCACGTCGTATGGATACGAAAGTAAAAAGCGACGTACGGATAAGGTTAAGTGGTGGCACAGAGTTCCCCACGTTGTATGGATACCAAAGTAAAACACGACGTACAGATAAGGTTAAGTGGTGGCACAGAGTTCCCCACGTCGTATGGATACGAAAGTAAAACACGACACACGGATAAGGTTAAGTGGTGGCACAGAGTTCCCCACGTCGTATGGATACGATAGTAAAACAGAACGTACGGATGGGGTTAATAAATAATTTACTGAAGAAGCAGGTTGCTTCGACCCTGACTGTCTGGACCAACCCCCCTCCCCCACCCCCCTGCTGAGGGTGATACTGACACAACATTTAAAAAAAACCATAGTAGGGGGAACTGTGCTGTCATCTGTGTGCATTAGAGAAGAGCCTTACCACCACGACACCACATGCTGGCCTTCCTTCTAAAAGCCAAAAAGGTCCTTACAATACAGAAAACACTGATATCTGGAAAAAAAACCCCAACAAAACGGTTAATTAACCCTATCAGAACATCATGTTTTACTATCACATCCATACGACGTGGGGAACTCTGTGCCACCACTTGCCAAAAAGGAAATTTACTCATTCATCCGATCCGTATGCTTTGCATAACAGTCTGTCAAAATGATTTTTTGAGAAATACTGAAAGTTTCAACGAGATCTTCGTACTAGAAGTATTCTAAAATGTGAAGAATACAACCCCGGGGATACAAAATGACACCAGTGCGTACGGATAGGGTTATCCTCCGGGCCAAGCCCGACATTGTGTCCTTGGGAAAGGCACTTTACAGAAATTTTACTCACTTCACCCAGGTGGGAATGGGTATCCATAGACAGTGAAAGATCCTGTAAGTATGTTAGTGTTTTCAATAGATAAAATGGCAACTTGCACTGGAAGCCTCCCAGGAAGTTAAAATTGTTTCAAAATTTTATCATTTCTGCTAGATTGTAAAGTGCATAGAGCTTGCTGTTGAGCGGGAATTTGAGCTATACAAACACTAACTATTAACTTTATCTCTCTTATAAAAAGTTGAAGTATTTTTTCCAACAGTTAATTTTTTAAAAGTAAGTGTAAGGGTTTAACGCCATTTTCAACACAGTTGAGTTAGGTTATTTCAGAGACGGGACCTCCATAATTTTATATATATCCATTTGCGACAAGATCGAACTAATAGGGTGGGTGGAAAGCCTAGAAAACACGATAAAACAACCTGAATCCAAGAATGCTCTGTTTGGAATTTGAACTAAGGTCATTCCAGAGTCCAGCATGATATCAACTGAGCTAATGGAGCAACCTTGTTTAGGGTATAAGTAAGAGTTTTTTTTATAGTTTTAGTAAGAGTACTACAGCACTTGCAACACAATATTATAAGGTCATATAAGTGCCGAAGAAGTGTTACAAGAGAGTAACAAATACAAAAAAGGAGGGGAGATAGATGCGACAGGTTTTTTATTGGAAAGAAGGAGCAAACCACACCAGAGCCCCCGCCAACCACTCAGTAACAGTTTTTAGACATTTTGCGCTGCAGAGTAACTTAACTGTGCCTTAATGAGAAATACTGCCTAAGAAAGCTTAACACTGACGGTCTGCCACTATGAATTCAATGCATCATACATGGCATTGTGTATCAATTAGTTTTCATGCTGCAACTATAATCAGCAGTCACGCAGACTACAGACATACAAAGTCTTACATTCCTGAAAGTTTTTATTAAATCACAACCTTTCAAATGTACATATAGCTGAAGATTTAATAAAAGAAAAATTATAAAGACACTAGTACAATTTCGTGGGAACAGAGCTTATAAAAGATAAAGCTAGACATTGAGTAACGATAGAGGTACTAGAAAGTTAGCACAAAAAAAATCGTGAACATTATTACAATAACAGGATTACAACACATGAAAACGAGAACTCCTTTATAACTTGTTTAGTTCTTTGAAGAAGTTGACAAAACTGACAATAGTTATTAATACAGCCCTAACTCTGAGCAAGCACACTGGAGCAAATGGCTACTGATTTATTAATCATTTAGCAGCTGTTTGAAAGATCTGACACAAGACCACGAGGTATTTCTGATTCAGTTGACTAAATATTCAGCATTAGGATACAATTATCATGTTTCCACCTACAGTAATTTGATCCTACATCCGTGCTTGCTCTGCCACCCTCCCCCTCCACCCACCCGCTTTCCTTTTTCTCTCTGTCTGAAATAATGCTCAATCAAAATCAGTACTACTATGTCCCTTTCTGTCACACTTCAGAAGGACAAAAAGTTTCTCATAATCTCTATACTTATTGAAGGCAAACCTGTCACTGCCAGAGAGTGGCAAATGATCCCTTGCACTTGCACAGAAGAGAGAACAAGAGAGAGAGAGAGTCAAGAGAGAGGGAATGACGACTCAATGTTCACAAGACAGTACAATTGTAACTGTTAGATTCCATGGCCAAAAAGTGCATCAACACATAGATCTAGATCTATGATTTATAAAATTGACAATCTGCTGATAAAAATAAAGTGCCTCAAAGTAAAATCTCAGTTGGCAACTACTTTAACTTTAACAATAAGAACTTGAAAGTCAATCAAGACTATCTTTTGGAAATACCCAGAAATTTCATTTCTTTATCCATCCTCCCTCTTCTTAAGAAAGAAGGTAGGAGGCAGAAAATTACTCATCTAGTCTGGGCAAAGTATGCAGAATGAAAGAGCACATGATGCACCACCCCAGTCACCAGCAGTTGAGTGGGGTGATACTTCAACTTGAAGTTGAAGGGAATCGTCTTGTGCTGCTCCAACTCAAGATAACTAACAAAAGGAATATATATTATTATATGTGTGAAAGTGTGCGTGTGCACGTGTCCACAAGTGAACACACAGGCGAACAAGCGTTTATCCTAGTACACATTAGCTATGTCTATCTATAATTACATATTGAGAAGAAAGCACACTACCAATCTTTCCTAACACAGAACTATATGTAAAGATAAACCAGTTTATCTCATTTTCAAAATTGTCCGCCCTCTAACATCCAATCACTTTTGTACAGGTGAACAAAGAGTTGACAAAACCATAAAAGGGAGTTAACTTTATACAGAAATTTAAACAATATATGTAAACAGCATTAATATATACAGTGGGTGTCGCATTCAATGAGGTTGTCGGGACCGGCTTGTTGTCCTCGTTGGATCCAACCTCTCGTTGAACGTGACTATGGGTAAGAAAGGAGACAAGTTATTATATTATAGGATGTATCAATACCAGTAATTAAAACAGTTGTTCCCCCTGATGACGAAAATCTCAAACAGCATCAGAGTACGCGTGTTTGAGCTGTGTTCTGACCGTCATTTCTGCATAATATTTTTTTTCCCGGAACGCTTCTCGTGTGGAAACATACCCTCACACATCTAGGCCTAGATATCTACATAAAGTAGAGGCGGGAGCTTAGATTTTCTGTTCAGGGAAAGAAAAGAAAATTGAAAAAAAAATAAAGGTCTCGATCTGGACCTACCCATCCAGAGTTCATCCAGTTTCACACAGCCCCCCATCGTGTTCCCACCCACCCACTCCCGTCCCTTCCGTGGGCTAACCCTCACCCATCCTCTGGGCTTTGGGGCCCATATTATTATAAGGAGGCATACTAGATCTAGCAATACTATGTGTTAGGAATCGGTGATGGGCCTTGTGCTTCGCGTGAGATGGAGAGAAAGGAGAAAAATACTTTGCTCTTGGGGCCGCTAATTGCTTTTATTTAGTTATCGCGACCTCGTTGAAAGCGACTTCGGTCTGTTCGCAACCTCGTTGGAGCCGACGTACACTTACAAAGAGATATAGAGGGAAAAATCGGGTATTAAGGATAGCCTCGTTGGAGCCGACTTCTCGTTGAATGCGGCACACACTGTATAATGTATTCCCCCCAGCCAGAAGGCATCGCTGAGGCCCCCCAGCACACCATACAGCTATGTTCGAGTTAGTAGACATCTCAGATATAAATCCAAGCACGTGGAACACCACTAAACGTAGGTATACTGGTCTTCTAGCTCATACACCACTAGACGTAGGTATACTAGTCTCATACACCGCTACACGTAGGTATACTGGTCTTCCAGCTCTTGATGACAGAGGCCACAATGCGTACTTTCAACACTGTTATCGAATGTGCACCTCGGACAAGATTTTTTCGTTGTCGACAGCCGGCTGTGGGTACAGACGGAGCACACAGCATCGGAGGCCATGTTCACATTGGAGCATTTCGTGCACTTCCACTGGATCAAGGTCATGTCCATACTGCGGGCGGCCCGGCTTTGGGCCACTTTGTACACTGCAGAAGTCTTTTCATCCCCGTACTTGAGAGAGTTGGACTTACCCCCTGCACCAAAACGATCTCGGCGCGTGATCGGTTCTGTGTCTGACGTCTGAACAGGTACGGGAGGTCTCATGTTGGGTAATGTAGGTGCACTCAAAGTGCCGTACACTTTGCGACTTAAGTCTGCAGCCTGAAGAGAAGCCGCCGTCACACTGGCATTCTCCAACATATTATCCGCTCTCATAGGCCTAGTCTGCAGCATAGGTTTCAACGCTCTTGACGGGATAGGAGGCGGGGCCCGAGCTTGCTTGGAAGCATACGACAACATGGCAGAATCTGCGTCAAGAACGGGAGGGGTGTATATCGTGGGACCGAAGGAGCCCTGGGGTTGCGGAGGAATCCCTTTCAGCCCATACGTGGCGTCAACTGCATGAGGCACTTGGTACCCATGAGGCACTTGCTGGACTGGGGCTGCCACCTGAGAAAAAGAACCTTGCAGAGAGGGTTGCAAAAAGCGTGAAGACCCCCCCAGATCCGTCTGAAAACCTTCGTCAAGAGAAGCATCATCGTTGGGGTACATGCTGGGCTTGTAGTTAGTGACCGCCGGAGGGTAAGTGTTCACGGACAGTGGGTTGCTGGTACCGATCTGACCATACAGTTGGGGACCCTCAGGCACTGGTGCTGTGGTATTCCGGGGGACGTGACCGTTATTCTGGAGCTCCCGGAACCACTTCCAGTCATTGGACTTGAAACCTTGCGAGGTGTGACTAGATGTTGACGGAGGGTGCCTCGGCCCTTCCTCCTGGGAGACAAACTTCAAACTTTCCCTCATGTGTTCATCACACGTGCCTTGAGGCAGCTCTGGGATTCTCTCCTCTAAGGCAGTGTCAATACAAGGAAACGAGTCCTGGACAGACTCGGAAGCAGGCAAAGGGGACTTTACTTGCTCTAAATGACCAAAGTCTTGATACGGCCTCATGCCGTTGAATCGGCTGCCCTGTTTGTGGCTCAATTCGACACCATCAAGGCCAGCTTCAAGACCAGTGGCATAGGCCGACTCAAAAGCTCTTTGTTGGTGGGACCGAGTATGATGGATGGGGTCTCGTTTCGGCAGAGCAGGTGCAGCAGTCCTCATTTCCTTCTGCCAAGATAAATCCATCTCTGGCACTGGAGCTTTCCCTCTGCCAAGTAGATTCTCCTCTCTTATCCCTGCATCGCCCAGTCTTTCCGACACCACGAAGCCAAGACTTTGACCAATGTTCTTCACTTTACTATAATGGTCTGCAATTGTTTTGCACTCCACTGAAGCAATTTTGCAATCAAATGCCAACAAAAGCAAAGAAGCTTTATCCATCTGCCTCTTGTGGACCATCACGTCATCATTGGTTGCGATGTAGCCAGCGGTGAAAAAGATTTCCTCTGGGTACAGAAGAACTGACTTAATTCTCGTTTTGTAAAACCCACCATACATCTGGGGAGTAACAAAACAATAGCGTTAAGATAGAGAGATAGATAGATAGGCAGATAGATAGGCAGATAGATAGACAGACAGACAGACAGACAAACAGACAGACAGACAGACAGACAGACAGATAGATAGACAGACAGACAGACAGACAGACAGACAGACAGACAAACAGACAGACAGACAGACAGATAGATAGATAGACAGATAAACAGACAGACAGACAGACAGATAGATAGATAGATAGACAGATAGATAGACACATAGACACATAGACACATAGACAGATAGACAGATAGATATATAGATAGACAGATAGATAGACAGACAGATAGATAAATAGATAAAAAGACAGATAGACAGATAGACAGATAGACAGATAGATAGATAAATAGATAGATAGATAACACTCGGGTGTCTACACTAATACTAACAGCTAATTTTAAAATCCAAAGTGCTGCACATTTTATATTTGTTGTTGTTTCTACTAAACACAAAAGGGCCAGTTGATATAAATGGGCAGGGTAAAAAAACAAAAACAACAACCCCCCCCCCCATATTGTGACTGAAACATTAAAGAGATGGCATAACAACTTTTCGGGGGGGACAAAACATTATCTTAAAAAGAAAGCTGTCTCCTTGGTTTTATGCACCCCGCATAATTTAGCAAAATTTGATCAATTTTTGCATAATTTCTGATTATTTTCCTTCATCATTCTTTGTTAAAATTAAAAGAATCGCATAATTTCACATTTTTGGGCTCAGTTTGCATAATTTCAGAATTTTTCTTGCATAAAACGACGGAGACAGAGAAAGTTACTGAGGATCAGATAGATGGACCGACAAGGTCACCAACGAGAAAGAGTTAAGGAAAACAAGACAGATCCCAGTCAGAGATGAGGTAGAAAGAAGGCGGTGGTGACGGATTGAAAATACTCTCAGGATGTCAGGCAGCTGCATAACAAAGAAAGTGTGGGATTGGAACCCACAGGGTAAAAAGATTAAGGGTAAAACGTGTGGGACGTGGAGAAGAATCACAGAAATTGATGGGTACAAAAAAAGTGGGAAGACATGGAATAACATCAAGAGGCTAGTCCAGGACAAAGAAAGGTGGAAAGTGTTTGTCCATGGCCTTTACCCTGGTGCACGGTGAGAGAGGCAATGATGATGATCTTAAAAAGACCACAGGGATTACTCGGAGTGACAAATTTACATCTGCAAGAAATTTATTTCCTATCCAGTTACTCCTATCTATATTTTTTTTTCCATTCTTCAATATCTCCAAAACTGGGGGAGGTTTGAGCAGTTTTTAAGGAAACTATTGATTTTTATCTTTTAACTAAAAGGTGAGCTTACATTTTGGCTACACGTTGGTTCAGTTAACACTTTGACTTTCAACACAATTTGAAGATCGTTGAGGTAGGATGGAGTGAAAGATGTGCAAAATCACATTTGATTTGTCTCCTGCTCTTCCAATCCATATTGCTGTGATTTTCAACTCCATCATCACTGTTGCCATACACCCTATTTCCATGAAGGCTGCCAGCATACTCTAAACTAACTGTTTATCATCCCATCCCCTTTCAAAATTACAACATGATGTACCGTACCATAAAAGAATCTATAACAACTCAAAGCAAACTTTTTACATAGGTTTCAGAACTAGAACTTTATCCGTAAGAAATAAACCAGTCAACCATATTTGACGTATATATATATGTGTGTATAATCATGACCTGATAATGTTAACCCTATCCGTACGTCGTGTTTTACTATTGTGTCCATACGGCGTGGGGAACTCTGTGCCACCACTTTCCAAAGAGGGAATTTACTCGTTTATCCGATCTGCACGCTTTGCATAGCGGTCTGTAAAAATGATTTTTTGAGAAATACTGAAAGTTTCTAAGAGACCTTCGTACTAGAAGTATGCTAAAATGTGAAGAATATAAGGTTGTGAAACGCCCGAAACTCAAGATAGAAGCACACTGGCAAAGAAACTCACAAGTATGCCCCATGTGCAGCCAACTCACCTTTAGCTTTTAGTTTAGTTTTAGTAGAGGTCTTACGGCGCTCACAACAGCATAAGGTAATAGGAGCGCCAGAAGATTAGAGGTATTACAAGAGAGAAAAAAAAAGTAAAGTTGTTCCCGCATCCGATCCTGACATTGGGGATTGCCTTGTTAGTAAGACAACTTGCTGGGCCTTCGGGCGGGATATTGTGGTAGGGTGGCCAGTTCCTTTCCACGCCCCCTTCACCTCCCCAACTCGAAGTCAGGTACTCATTACTGCTGGGTGGGCAGGAGGAGCGAAAAAATTCTTGTGTTCGAACAGAGACTCGAACCTGGACTTTCGGCTTCGGAGACGAGCGCACTAACCGCTCCGCCACCGCAAACATAAAAAAGAAGATGAGGAGATAGATGTTTCAGAGGAAAGAAGAAGCAAACCACACCAGAGCACCCGCCAACCACCCACCTTCAGCTTTTTGTATTCTGGTTTCCATGGTTGCTCCACAAGCAACAAAATGTAGCGCTCCAGACTCTCAAAGGCTTTCACCACAGGTGCCAAATCCGTGTTATTGGCTGCTCGATCCCTCAAGGCAGTATTCAAAACATTGAGCATACAAGGATTTGCAAAGATGTTCTGCAAAGCACTCTGAAAAGGAAAAATTTTAAAGCATGATGTAAGTGAAGCTTATTGTCAAGTTCAAAAGAAAATAAAAAATAATACTTTTCATGTGGTTGGATCTCTGAAAAATGTGCAGTCTGTAACTGACCAAGAAGAGGTGGTTTATAAAGGTAAATATGAATATGTGCTCTTTGATATGTTGCCTTGCTTTACCTTTACACCTGTCTTGTTGTGCGTATATGCATGAGTGCATCTAACTTTGTAACATTCACTGCCATTGATTCATTGTCAATTTCCCAGTTTTCTGCATCTCCATAATCTCTCAAACAAATGAACACTTAGTAAGAAAATTTGCCTCATTCAATAGAACCAGCTCTAGTGATCACCTGTCCAAAATAACCATCCACACAAACAACCCACCACACATTTTTTCCCACATACTGACCAAGAAGTCCACCTATCCAACATGACCGCTATATTTTATCAACAAACAGCCCCCCAAAAATATATCCATAATGACCATTTAGATCTTTCACTGCCCAACACATTGCAATAAAAGTACTGACTCTTCTTGCTGTGGATCAGCCAGTAATAACAACGGAAAAAAACAACATAACCAAATCTCCCTTTTCCCCCTCCCTCCAAAACAAAACAAAAATTTCATGAGCCTTACAGCAATTCTAAACCAGAGTAGTAGTGCAAACATCTCAGAAAGGAATGTTTTTCTTTCTTCACTTTCATCTGACCAGTCCTAGACGAGCACCTGGCTAAAACGACCACTTTTCTCCAAAAAAATTGGTGGACCTCTTGAACAAGTTTGACTGCATTACCTTGTACACTAACGAGGTAACTTACGGTAACAGTGTCAGCAACATAAAAATATATGCCAATATCTCAATCTGTGAGCCCTTTCCCACTCCGCAAAACAAAATTCAGTAAAACAAACAATCAGCTGATATCCAAGCTCTAGGCCACAAACAACCCAATTATACATATCTTATGATATAATAATCATAAATCTGAACATAAAACATACAGATTTTAATATTTCTAGTGGTAAATAACACATTTAAACTTTGATTTTTTTACTTTGCCCAACAGCATCAAAAGCTAAATTTATGAGAAAAACTTGATCAAAAGGATAAAATAGACTCGATGGCTATAACATTTTAACTGCAACCAACTTTTTGATTAATTAATGAAAAGTTACGATGTAAAAAAGTACAGCCTGATGAACCAACTTACCTCTTTAAGAGAAATGGCAATGAACCGTTGGATATCACTTTTCAGTTGTGGCTTGTCTACATCCGAAAGAGATGTCTCGTAGTCGTGACTTTTGATGTATAAATTTCTTGCCTGTCTGAGAGCTTCCATGATAATGAATTAACGTTCAATCTCCTCGCAGAATTCAGCACTCAATAAAAATAACCGTCTAAGATTCTAATAGACTATACAGCAACATCAAGGAGGAAGTAACAAATCATCTACCCATTTATTTTAAACTTCATGTCAGTCCGCTAGACAATATACAAAGCTACACAGATAACCTCTCATTTGAATCCTTCTCGAAAAACAAGTTAGAGTGTCACATATTCCAGGTGAGGTCCTGTACTCGTAGCTTCATACTCGGTCTCTGTTCCGACTCTAACAAGTTAAGCGTGAGAAGTTTGATCCTGAGAAAAGTCATAGCTCCGTGTTGCACCTGCAATAGTCAAAATGGACAGAGTAAGATGTATACAACAAATTAAAACATGTGATAGGTATAATCTGTAACCATAGCTAGATATTCTTGGCTGGCAAAAATAGCAGAGTTAAGGATAGATTAATAAAATTCATATTACATTTAAATACAGGGCCATGGGCGTTAACGTATAGGCACTAAAGAGGCCTCACTAATTAGCCACATGAGGGCCATTAGGTCAGTATTATGTAAAAAGGTTGAGCAGAAAATAAAGGGGGAAAAGTCATGTAATGGGTGAGATAATACTGATTAAGTCATAAAAGCAATACACATTATTAATATTACAAAATATAATTTCTCCTCTCGAATCAACCATTAGAATTTCAAGTGACGCCTTTCTTTAGGCCTGCCAATTTTTGAGAGATGCTGAATTCTGGAATTTTGAATGCGCCGGAGCGCCATGGACACACACTTCTGTGATAGGCTACTAAAGCTACTAAAAAAAAACCCACCCACACCACAAAAACAGCTCAAACAAAAGAGTGATAGTCAAAACCGATACCCATCTAAGCATCCATACCGATTTCCTAAACTTGCGATACCCCTTCACCCTCAGCATTTCTAAGCCTTAGCGTTTTGTTTTTTCTAAGAAAATAATTGTTAACAGAGTTCCCCACGTCGTATGGATACGAAAGTAAAACACGACACACGGATAAGGTTAAGTGGTGGCACAGAGTTCCCCACGTCGTATGGATACGATAGTAAAACAGAACGTACGGATGGGGTTAATAAATAATTTACTGAAGAAGCAGGTTGCTTCGACCCTGACTGTCTGGACCAACCCCCCTCCCCCTCCCCCCTGCTGAGGGTGATACTGGCACAACATTTAATAAAAACCATAGTAGGGGGAACTGTGCTGTCATCTGTGTGCATTAGAGAAGAGCCTTACCACCACGACACCACATGCTGGCCTTCCTTCTAAAAGCCAAAAAGGTCCTTACAATACAGAAAACACTGATATCTGGAAAAAAAACCCCAACAAAACGGTTAATTAACCCTATCCGTACGTCGTGTTTTACTATTGTGTCCATACGGCGTGGGGAACTCTGTGCCACCACTTTCCAAAGAGGGAATTTACTCGTTTATCCGATCTGCACGCTTTGCATAGCGGTCTGTAAAAATGATTTTTTGAGAAATACTGAAAGTTTCTAAGAGACCTTCGTACTAGAAGTATGCTAAAATGTGAAGAATATAACCCCGGGGATACAAAATGACACCAGTGCGTACGGATAGGGTTATCCTCCGGGCCAAGCCCGACATTGTGTCCTTGGGAAAGGCACTTTACAGAAATTTTACTCACTTCACCCAGGTGGGAATGGGTATCCATAGACAGTGAAAGATCCTGTAAGTATGTTAGTGTTTTCAATAGATAAAATGGCAACTTGCACTGGAAGCCTCCCAGGAAGTTAAAATTGTTTCAAAATTTTATCATTTCTGCTAGATTGTAAAGTGCATAGAGCTTGCTGTTGAGCGGGAATTTGAGCTATACAAACACTAACTATTAACTTTATCTCTCTTATAAAAAGTTGAAGTATTTTTTCCAACAGTTAATTTTTTAAAAGTAAGTGTAAGGGTTTAACGCCATTTTCAACACAGTTGAGTTAGGTTATTTCAGAGACGGGACCTCCATAATTTTATATATATCCATTTGCGACAAGATCGAACTAATAGGGTGGGTGGAAAGCCTAGAAAACACGATAAAACAACCTGAATCCAAGAATGCTCTGTTTGGAATTTGAACTAAGGTCATTCCAGAGTCCAGCATGATATCAACTGAGCTAATGGAGCAACCTTGTTTAGGGTATAAGTAAGAGTTTTTTTTATAGTTTTAGTAAGAGTACTACGGCACTTGCAACACAATATTATAAGGTCATATAAGTGCCGAAGAGGTGTTACAAGAGAGTAACAAATACAAAAAAGGAGGGGAGATAGATGCGACAGGTTTTTCATAGGAAAGAAGAAGCAAACCACACCAGAGCACCCGCCAACCACCCAGTAACAGTTTTTAGACATTTTGCGCTGCAGAGTAACTTAACTGTGCCTTAATGAGAAATACTGCCTAAGAAAGCTTAACACTGACGGTCTGCCACTATGAATTCAATGCATCATACATGGCATTGTGTATCAATTAGTTTTCATGCTGCAACTATAATCAGCAGTCACGCAGACTACAGACATACAAAGTCTTACATTCCTGAAAGTTTTTATTAAATCACAACCTTTCAAATGTACATATAGCTGAAGATTTAATAAAAGAAAAATTATAAAGACACTAGTACAATTTCGTGGGAACAGAGCTTATAAAAGATAAAGCTAGACATTGAGTAACGATAGAGGTACTAGAAAGTTAGCACAAAAAAAATCGTGAACATTATTACAATAACAGGATTACAACACATGAAAACGAGAACTCCTTTATAACTTGTTTAGTTCTTTGAAGAAGTTGACAAAACTGACAATAGTTATTAATACAGCCCTAACTCTGAGCAAGCACACTGGAGCAAATGGCTACTGATTTATTAATCATTTAGCAGCTGTTTGAAAGATCTGACACAAGACCACGAGGTATTTCTGATTCAGTTGACTAAATATTCAGCATTAGGATACAATTATCATGTTTCCACCTACAGTAATTTGATCCTACATCCGTGCTTGCTCTGCCACCCTCCCCCTCCACCCACCCGCTTTCCTTTTTCTCTCTGTCTGAAATAATGCTCAATCAAAATCAGTACTACTATGTCCCTTTCTGTCACACTTCAGAAGGACAAAAAGTTTCTCATAATCTCTATACTTATTGAAGGCAAACCTGTCACTGCCAGAGAGTGGCAAATGATCCCTTGCACTTGCACAGAAGAGAGAACAAGAGAGAGAGAGAGTCAAGAGAGAGGGAATGACGACTCAATGTTCACAAGACAGTACAATTGTAACTGTTAGATTCCATGGCCAAAAAGTGCATCAACACATAGATCTAGATCTAGGTATAAAATTGACAATCTGCTGATAAAAATAAAGTGCCTCAAAGTAAAATCTCAGTTGGCAACTACTTTAACTTTAACAATAAGAACTTGAAAGTCAATCAAGACTATCTTTTGGAAATACCCAGAAATTTCATTTCTTTATCCATCCTCCCTCTTCTTAAGAAAGAAGGTAGGAGGCAGAAAATTACTCATCTAGTCTGGGCAAAGTATGCAGAATGAAAGAGCACATGATGCACCACCCCAGTCACCAGCAGTTGAGTGGGGTGATACTTCAACTTGAAGTTGAAGGGAATCGTCTTGTGCTGCTCCAACTCAAGATAACTAACAAAAGCAATATATATTATTATATGTGTGAAAGTGTGCGTGTGCACGTGTCCACAAGTGAACACACAGGCGAACAAGCGTTTATCCTAGTACACATTAGCTATGTCTATCTATAATTACATATTGAGAAGAAAGCACACTACCAATCTTTCCTAACACAGAACTATATGTAAAGATAAACCAGTTTATCTCATTTTCAAAATTGTCCGCCCTCTAACATCCAATCACTTTTGTACAGGTGAACAAAGAGTTGACAAAACCATAAAAGGGAGTTAACTTTATACAGAAATTTAAACAATATATGTAAACAGCATTAATATATACAGTGGGTGTCGCATTCAATGAGGTTGTCGGGACCGGCTTGTTGTCCTCGTTGGATCCAACCTCTCGTTGAACGTGACTATGGGTAAGAAAGGAGACAAGTTATTATATTATAGGATGTATCAATACCAGTAATTAAAACAGTTGTTCCCCCTGATGACGAAAATCTCAAACAGCATCAGAGTACGCGTGTTTGAGCTGTGTTCTGACCGTCATTTCTGCATAATATTTTTTTTCCCGGAACGCTTCTCGTGTGGAAACATACCCTCACACATCTAGGCCTAGATATCTACATAAAGTAGAGGCGGGAGCTTAGATTTTCTGTTCAGGGAAAGAAAAGAAAATTGAAAAAAAAATAAAGGTCTCGATCTGGACCTACCCATCCAGAGTTCATCCAGTTTCACACAGCCCCCCATCGTGTTCCCACCCACCCACTCCCGTCCCTTCCGTGGGCTAACCCTCACCCATCCTCTGGGCTTTGGGGCCCATATTATTATAAGGAGGCATACTAGATCTAGCAATACTATGTGTTAGGAATCGGTGATGGGCCTTGTGCTTCGCGTGAGATGGAGAGAAAGGAGAAAAATACTTTGCTCTTGGGGCCGCTAATTGCTTTTATTTAGTTATCGCGACCTCGTTGAAAGCGACTTCGGTCTGTTCGCAACCTCGTTGGAGCCGACGTACACTTACAAAGAGATATAGAGGGAAAAATCGGGTATTAAGGATAGCCTCGTTGGAGCCGACTTCTCGTTGAATGCGGCACACACTGTATAATGTATTCCCCCCAGCCAGAAGGCATCGCTGAGGCCCCCCAGCACACCATACAGCTATGTTCGAGTTAGTAGACATCTCAGATATAAATCCAAGCACGTGGAACACCACTAAACGTAGGTATACTGGTCTTCTAGCTCATACACCACTAGACGTAGGTATACTAGTCTCATACACCGCTACACGTAGGTATACTGGTCTTCCAGCTCTTGATGACAGAGGCCACAATGCGTACTTTCAACACTGTTATCGAATGTGCACCTCGGACAAGATTTTTTCGTTGTCGACAGCCGGCTGTGGGTACAGACGGAGCACACAGCATCGGAGGCCATGTTCACATTGGAGCATTTCGTGCACTTCCACTGGATCAAGGTCATGTCCATACTGCGGGCGGCCCGGCTTTGGGCCACTTTGTACACTGCAGAAGTCTTTTCATCCCCGTACTTGAGAGAGTTGGACTTACCCCCTGCACCAAAACGATCTCGGCGCGTGATCGGTTCTGTGTCTGACGTCTGAACAGGTACGGGAGGTCTCATGTTGGGTAATGTAGGTGCACTCAAAGTGCCG